CGTGGCAAACCTGAAAGCACTGAACGACCGTTTCGTCCTAGTATCCACGATCATATGCTCACTAGTGACGGTCTCTAGGAGGAATTTCCTGAAGTTCTAGTGAGAAGCCGTTACCAGTGGAGTTCAGCTGAGTCTTCTGTAAGATAATAGCTCAGTGAAGACAATGATGGACGATGGTGAAATTTCGTCGAATTTTCAAAGTTGGACATTCACACCATTGAATGTCGGGCAAAAAAGTGATATGGAAGTTAAGTACTCGCAAGCAAGACAAAACACCCTGGGTTCAAGTCCCACCAATGGAATCGTCGATACGCACTTCTGAGGAATCCAATACTAGTAAGGAATAGACCGTCAAATACTTCCACGTTTTCAGTCGTATTCCAGCTTAGATTGACTCGTCAATTCAATTGTCAATTGACAGAATTACCAATCACAATAATATTAACCACAAAATCCCATCAACTACTTTACAGAATGGAAGAAATCACCTAAAATGCAAAATAAATCATAATCATATACAAACCGATATAAAATGATAGTTTACAATAAAATTCATTATCATTAGTCCATTCTATTTTATTCTAATCTATGCCAATCTGTTTTTCTTCATTAAATATCTACACTCTAATTTACTTATTGAATTACTGGAATTCCTAACTTCTTAACCTAATAGAAATATGAAAAGAAAATGGAACAAAACAAATTTACTTTAAGTACGTGCCACTATCATAAGGAAGGTAGTCTATGAGAAACAATAGATAGTTTCATTTTTGTTTGTTGTTGTTGTTGTTTGTTTGTTTGTTTTGTCATAATGAGACAGTATTCTCATATATCAGGTTCCGAAGGTCAATCTATTGTTCGTTCGCCCACGTAACGTAATCATATTTGGTGGTTTATTATTATTATTATTATTATTATTATTATTATTATTATTATTTTCAAGATAAATTTCTACAGAAATATTCATCTTAATTCTCTTTATATGACTTTCTAACGTTGATCAGTGTTGATTTCATACATACACTCGTCAACTCCTCTAAATTGGTTTCTTCTCAGTAAACTTAGTAATTTCATGAAAGCAATTGTCAGATTGTTTAGTGATTGATTCTTGGTAAGTGTGATGCGGAGTGGTCGGTCGGTGGTGAATAGGGAAGTGTTTAGTATATTGCTGTGATCTGACTCCAATTAGAACGTATGCTGATTGTTGTAGAAATATACATGCCTTCAATCCTCGTATATAACTATCGACTCAATTCACGTTGGACAATAACGGAATAAAGCAAGTCAAATACGAGAATGCATTTTGAATTGATATATTTCGAACACTCATTGATGCAGACAGACAATCAGAGAAACGGAGTGAAGAGAGCGAAGTGAACAAGACAAGACGAGACGAGACGAGACGAAACGGAACGAAATGAAGCGAAACGAAGTGAGGCGTAGAGAAGAAGGTGAGTGAGCGAACTCGTTTCGATTAGGCGTGACTCAATATTTATATTCAGACAAGAATAATGGATATCAGACTGACACGTGATGAATAGGGTAAGCAATGAGCACATATACGATCATATAAGGGTTGTCAGAAATTACTTCCTAATGCTTGTTACCCTCACTGGTGCATAGGCTGCCGACCAACCTTCTCCAACTCACTCTATCCTGATCCTTCTTTTCTAGTTCTATCCAATTCTTGTTCATTCTTCTCATGTATGCCTTCATTTCTTGGCGTTATGTGTTCTTTAGTATTTCTCTTCTCATTTTGCCTTGAGGATTCTAAGTGAACGCTTATGACGCAGTCGTGTGCTTTCCTCAATGTCTATCCTATCGACTTCCAGCTCTTCTTTCTGATTTCTTCCTCCTCTGGAATCTGGTTTGATCTCTCTCACGGTTGGTTGTTGCTGATAATGTCTGACCAACGGATTCGAAGTATTTTGCGTAGACAACTGTTAATAAACACTTGTATCTTCTGGATGATGGGTTTCGTAGTTCTCCAAGTTTCCACCTTATACTACAGATTGTCTTGACCTTTGTATTGAAAATTCTGATTTTGGTGTTGGTTGATAGACAGTTGTTTTGAGTTTCAGATATTCTTCACTTGTAGATGTGCTGCTTTTGTTTCGCCGACTCGCGCCTTCACATCTGTATCAGATCCACCGTGCTCATCAATGATGCTGCCCAGCTATGTAAAGGTTTTTACATCCTCCAAAGCTTCTCCGTCAAGTATGATTTGATTGGTGCATGTCCTGTTGTATCCATTTGTGTAGGTTGAGACCTACTGTTGCTAAAGCTGCAGCTGCGATAGAAGAGCCAGATCACCTGTGAATTCTAGATCGTCCAGCTGCATCCTAGATGTACACTGTATACAGTGCTTCACCCCAGATGTTAACGTCTTCATAATCTAGTCGCTCAAAAAGAAAAAGAGAGAGTGTGACAGTAAGCAACCTTGTGTAACGCTGACAATTACTTCAAATGAGTTTGTAAGCTGTCCTCAATGTACGATTTAGCAGTTTAATTCATCGTAAGAATTCCGTATGATGTTGACTATCTTCTCAGGCACGTGATTCAGTATTTATATTCAGGAAAGAATAAGTTACAGACAGACGTCAGTATGATGATAGTGATGATGATGATGATGATCATATTTCGACTCTCACCGACCTCTTCGCACAGTGTTTTCAGACTTTGTTAGCGGAACAGAAAACTGAAGACACAAACGTCTTTCAGATATTATGGTTAACTGATTAGTTCACTACTCAGCTGTCAATAAGAAACGGCTCGTTTGGATCATCCAAATTCTTACACGTGTCAAATTTATTCACTATTCGTTTGTACATGCGAACAATGAACAAATCACGTGATAGATTTCAATGAAATAAACTGTCAACTGACAAAAGTCTGAACAGTAATGAACAACTCCAGACCGATCGTTCCACAACATGGAAGTTGTAATTCAGTTTCACAGTGCTTATGTGTGAATGTTGGAGAGTGGTGTATACGTCAAATTTTAACTTACTGATATTGACTTGTTCCGTAAACTACCACTTTTGATAGAGCACTGTATTGATCATGTAATATAAAGTGAAACATTCACAATGTCTTACCGATGACATTCAACCAGTCAGCATAGATAATGGAAAATACCATGCGTCCTCATCATCATTATCATCGTCACCATTAAATTGTAATTTGTAATTATTACCTTGTGTGAATTGAATTACAACGCTTATGAAGGCATATGATTTGGCAATGAACAAGATAAACACGGTCAATTCACTTACGCTATCATTAACATTCCACACTAATTTGTGATTTGAATATGTCAATTTTAAACTAAATTATGGTATTTGTTTAGTTAATAAACTCAAATAAACAAATTTCATCAAAGCAATTTGCATTCATTCATTCATTCATTCAATAATTAGTCTTGGAAATCTAAAAGTCTACTCCAGGTCAACTTACTCTGGCTTCATTTACATTCCTTGTGTATGTTGGAATGTCTCAGTGTAATTACTCTATGGTCATACACTACTATTGAATATTCAAGAGTAATAATCAGTCTGAAATGTAGTTGAAGATTTCTGGTAAGATTTAGAATTGAAGAAATTGAAATTCAAGATTTGATGTAGGGAAGCACATCTGACTGAATTATGTAAATGTATCGTTTCGACAATACTGTCCATCATGGATGGATTGATGGTGCCATCACCATTCCTAATGATGAAACGAATGGTTCATTCATCATCAGAATGACTACTCACATGATATGAAAATTCTCACTTTTAACAAAAGCGTATTCTTTCAATGGAACAAGACTGAATTAGTTTAGTGTGAAATGAGTAGTTACACAAACAGTGAAATAGAGTTCCTTTTAACCAACAACTCACACATCTAACACTCATGGCACTGCTAACGAATGCCAATCAGTTTATAGTTGTGAATATGATCAGATCATGTTTATGCACTAATCACCATTTGATAATTCCAATGTACCATAATTATTTTCACCCGTAATTATCTGCAGCACGATTGAGCACAAGGTGAATAATCTCAATTTAGTCAACTATGAATGCACACAATCTGTCCGATTATAATAATTAATGCCTAACACATTGCAACAAGTAGTTGCATGTTTCCCTGATGACAACAATCATCTGTGTTTCATTTCATACAATAAATCCTTGTGAATTATCAAGCAACGTAATCGAGTGAAGAAGTTGAGTAAATAACACTAGAATACCGTTATTCCTGTAATACAATCAGTGGAACAATGTTTCTTGATAATTCGACTCATAATTCGACTTTCTATCAGGTCGATAGATGACGAGACATCTGAGTGTTGATGAACTCCGAATAGGTTCAGTTGTTTTTCATTCTTCATCTATTCATAATTACAATTGAGTGAGTTGAATCCCGTCTCGATTTTGTCTCCACAATCTTCATCAATGATGAATAAATCTTTGTCAGATCACACAATCGAGTCATCTCCAATACAATATTCCAGAGTCATCATCCTCTTTACTCACAAATATTCCTTCAGTGTCCTCAATTCAACTGCATTACAATAAACTGGGCACATGGACACCATCACAGCCCTCACACATATCAAAAGAGATTTGTGTGGTGCATATGTATTTGGTGCCTCTTTGTATTAATATCTATGTGTTAAAATGTGAATTACGATTAAGCCTTTCACACAATTCACTACTCTGTGATCAAATATCCATCTCATCATGCTCATTGACAATGTCTTTATTATTTCGAACTGATTAAACGAAGTGACTTCTATGTGACAATGAAATACAATGAATTCAACATATTCTTCAAGCAATCTCATTCTCGATTTCCTCCTATAGAATTATTGTCATAATTCGACTTTCTATCAAGTCGAGAGTTGATTGGTTAACGCGACGAGACATCTGGTTGGATGATCAACTGTATGCTTCACTCTATATAATCTCAGTAGTTTCTTCTTCATTGTGAATAAATTATTTGACAACGTTGAAATGACTACACGTGATTACAAAAGTGACTGCATAATTGTAAGTTTTCAAATTGTCTTCACTATCTGTTTACCTGTGTTTTCAATTAGTTTGATGATAGTTATGAAGGATATTCAGCGAAGAATTTCACTTTGCCAGAAATCTATGAAAAACATATTTCAACCATTTTGGTTCCAAGTGGAATGATTGAGAATCGTTTGGAAAGAATGTCTATTGATATACTGAGTGATTATGAGAAATCTGGTGTACAATCTGTCTACGTGATTTGTATATTGAAAGGAGGTTTCAAATTTGCTTCCGACTTATTCAAAGCATTACAAGAGTATTCATTTACACGTCGAAATTACATAAAAGTTAGTATCGACTTCGTCGCTGCAAGTACATACGTTGTAAGTAGTAATGACATTTTGTGAATCAATGTCTATCAATTTATTCAGGATGATTCAGTAGGTCATGATACCAAAATCACTCCGTGTACAAATATGGAGAAGTTCAGAGATAAGGTAGGTTGAGCGGAAATGGAGAGAATTTATCATGATCATTTGGTTGTTCTGTATAGGACGTACTCATTGTGGAAGATATGGTTGACACGGGCACAAGTTTAAACGAACTGGAGAGATTTGTGAAGAAATACGAACCGAAATCTGTTCGTTCAGCATGGTATGTTGTGTTGATGTTGTTCTCTTATTTGTATTATCACCGAATGCATTCGAAGTGAGTGTTATGTGTATGTTGAGTTGGATGTTAACAGATTGAACAAGTGGATTCATTGTCTAGTAGATCTTTTATACATTTAATTCAAAAGACACTGAATGTGTAGAAATCAATTGTTTATCTTGATAGTAAGTACTACTGATGTGGTGTGACAGATTTGTGAGTTTATTTGTGTGCATTTAGTAAATAATCGATAATGGTTGTCACGTACACTAGAATCATTGAAATGCACGGTATCTTTGAGACACAGTGTAAAGAGAGATAAATGTCGTCGTATTTCACATTGATTCCAACGTGTTATGATTGAACACCGAATCACGTAAACAGTCAGTAGGATGCTTTAAGTACTGGATCGATCGACTGCTGATACTCAACAGCTTGACCTAATTTGTATGCATTTTCACATTGACAATCACTAAACCAATTACTTTGATTTTAATAGTTGTGCAATAACATGTGTTGATGTCATTTTTCAATTGAATCACAGTTTACTGGTCAAAAGAATAGCCGAGGTTCCTGGGTATAAACCAACCTGTAAGTCTTCAATACTGAAATTGTTCGTAACAGAACTATCATTGTATTTGTGCAAATGTTAATTTGTTTGTATCTCTACTTATGCGTATTATGGCTGACTAGATTAGCGTTCAAGTGTATGTAAATTGAATCGTTCTAGGTTCGACGATGTGAGTCATCGAATGAAGATCTGATCTTGTCAGAATCATTTCAATAGTACAACAGAATCTGTTGGAGATAGACGTTGTGAACTAATTCATTGAACAAGTATTTATAGAGTCAGAGTGGGACATCATCCACTGATTTATCGACAGATGGAACTCGATCATCACTGAACAACAAAGAACTACTGTGTTTTTGGCCGGTTGTGTAATAATACCTATTGACCGTGATCCAGTTCCATTTCTAAAGAAAATTTATTCACAGTGTTCCTGATCACTGATAACACATCCAACCAGAAATATAGCAACCGTGTAAGAGAATTCAACAGTCAATTCTCTCCTCACAAGTTATTTTGATCTCTGTTAAAATTAAACCAAGTGTATATTTGAGTCACTCAAAACCACATTAAGTGGTTCATTCAGAGATCAATTGTCACGACGTGCAAAGTAAAACTGTGTAACACAAGTGTAGTCTACTTTTGATCAGACACGCATCATTACTCGTCATTTTAACGTATTCCATCAGACTGATTCGTATCAAATGGCATTTTGTAGATGTTGGCTTCGAAGTACCGAATGTATTCATAGTTGGTTATGGTATCGACTACAACGATCGCTTCCGTGAATTGCCAGTAAGTGAATTGGACGAATGGATAATTTGTTGTTTTCCCATTTGTGTTTGTTATTATATGTGGAATGATCCAGTTGGATGTGTGGAGTAACATGTGTTGGAGATTGATGAGTGGGTATGAATGTGAGCGAGTTATTACGTTGGCCAACAAGAAAACGGAACATGTATCACTTGAATGAATGAATGAGATGAGATGAGATGAGATGAGATGAGATGAGATGAGATGAGATGAGTCAGATTTGCTTTCACATTGTTCAGAGAAGATATTAATATTGTTCACTTTTTCTCCTTTGATTATTTCCTCTCGTCTCAAGCATGTCTGTGCAGTGAACGATGAAGGTAAACGTGAATTCCTTGGCCAAGGTTAACATCTCTCTCGAGCTTCGTTTAACCGTGTATTAACCGAGAAAATAATCAGATTTGTGTCGAACGTTCCATCTTTCAATGTCATCACGTATACATTAAAGAAAATGTATATTTTATACAGAAGAGAATTTATTTTGTACTATTTTTGCAAAAATATTTGTTTTTTGACAGATACACTTTGGTCTTTTGAATTTATTTCCTAATTAGTTCAGTATGTCTAATTTACACAAAGACTATTATGATTGAGAAGCCTACTAGTTCCCATTTTGCTTTCAACTGCCCATTTAGCTAAATATTTGCAAAACAGTTCATGCTGCGCTTAATCATACAAATAAAACATCTTACGATGTTCAATAAATACTCCCACTGAGACATTGAATATTCAAGTTTTGCGAAGAAATATTTCGTCTCAATTAGTTCTTCATCAAGACTCTACACTAATATGTAGGTTTGACAAATGAGTAGAAAACCGATATCAATTAGATGGTTTCGAGTCAATTTAACAATGTAACAGTCAGTTAGTAACCATACAATGTGTTCATATTCACGCAAATATCTAATTTATGAAACGTGGGAAATATTCAGCATTAACAGCGAATCTCAACTAAAAAATCACTGTCAGACTATAATTCATGGATGAACTTTGAGCGACGCTAAAACGACCTTGAGAATGTCCACTTACATACTAAGGCAATATGAGGATTGTAAGCCAGTGTGAGGAATTAGGATTAATATTTATAGTTGATAGAACCAAACCTTATTGACCTCATATCTGATGTCGCTGATCCTCACCATCTAGTCAGCTCTAGTGGACTCTCTACTCAATGCGGGAAATATGCTTTAAATAGAGTCAAACTAACTGTAACTTGGGAATATGAGGACCCAACGTGATGTGTAGTAGTCGAATGGGATTCGTGTACGTAAATTTGTAGTGGATTGGTCTACTAATCCGTTCAATAAGTGTGTAGAATCAGGTATTTTTGGGAAATCAGAGGAATAAAAATAGTAATATTCGAGATAATAATACTGAATTTTATTGTATTATTATGATCTGAATTGAAATGAAGTGAAGTGTAAAGTAATATAGAACTAGGAACATATTGAGCTGTTTCGTGATATGAACACTTACGATCCTGTTATTTTTCCTTACATCATTCCCTGTATGAGATGTGTTAGTACTGTACATATCCACTTTGTTTCAGTTAATGGTTTTTGCAGTTAATGTAATTTAATCAATTTATTTCGGTGTACATAATATGAATAATGTAGTGGTAAACAAATAATACTGACCTCATTAGTTTTCTTGGACACACCCTGACAAAAGGCACTCGATCACTCTTCCGCACCAGATCACTATTACGTATTCCGGGCCATGCATCCCTATCAATAACTAGTCAGCTTTGACCATATGTTTCTCGACAATTCGACTTTTTTGTAAATATATCTTTGAACTCCTCCATCCCTGAATTCTGGTTAGACTGGCTTTAGGATGCTCGATTATAAAAGTGTTGCGAAAAACAACGTTTTCAGAACCTTATTACTTGCAACATCTTAACTACTGTTCAAGATTTTAGTGAATTCCAACTTGTGAGCGTAACCATACCCTTGTAGCGCTCAATAAAATTAAAGAATCAAGTATTTTCGAGCACTTCTTGTTCATTTATTGAGTAATTTTCAAACATATAAGAACAAGAATTTCACTGGCAATTGTGTGTCAATCATCTGAAGCTATCTATTTCTTCTATAAATACGTCACTGTTGCTTGTCTCAGATTTCCGAATTAAGATATTTGATGAAGTGAAAATCAGAGCATGAAATGAAATTCATAGCAAAAATTATACTCTCACAAGCAGTACTCACTCGGAAAATTTCCCAAAAACACCTGATACTACACACTTATTGAACGGATAGGTAGACCAATCCACTGCAAAGTTACGTACACGAATCCCATTCGACTACTACACATCACAGACTATCATTACTCCATGATCTGTTAAGCAGTAACCTTACCCAAACAAAATATGTTGTTTAGACAAATGTAATACACATTAATCGTCTACTTTTGTAAATCTACGATGCCGCTATTTGTCATACCTTCACGTATAATCACCACTGAATTGTTGCCGACAAAACCATACAACTAACGGTTTGCTCAAATGTCTGTTCAGCTGATTGTTATAATTTGTCGCTTGAATGCTTATTGTCTAGGCTCTTTCAATGCTACTTTTTGTATCTGATCGTCCCTGATTGTTATGTCGGAAACGCTTATCATTTATACTCGGAACGAGGCACCTCTGCAATTCCCACGACACGAAAGTAAAAACACAAAGACTGGTATAGTTGATGAGTTATTAACCCCAAATACGTTGACGACGATGACAACTTTAGTAGAAAATACACTCATTTATATATTGATTGTACACCCATTTTGATTCATAATTAGGATCAAATCACATCAGTTATAACAAATCACATATAGAGCATAGTTCATGTCAATGGAATACAAGAATATCGTATATTATATAGAATAAAATATCCTACGAGAGAAACAAAACAAATACTAGACCGGGTAATCATCACATTGAATCAGAATGGAAGTATTATTGAACAAAACTCATAATGAGTAAATAAATCAAAAATTGACTTTCCTTTGCATCATATCATCTCCCCTTCTTTTTTATGAAGACTCTATGTTGAGATCCAGCTTCAAATTTTATGACTTCATCCTCCCCACGAAATAACGTTGGGTCCTCATATTCCCAAGTTACAGTTAGTTTGACTCTATTTAAAGCATATTTCCCGCATTGAGTAGAGAGTCCACTAGAGCTGACTAGATGGTGAGGATCAGCGACATCAGATATGAGGTCAATAAGGTTTGGTTCTATCAACTGTAAATATTAATCCTAATTCCTCACACTGGCTTACAATCCTCATATTGCCTTAGTATGTAAGTGGACATTCTCAAGGTCGTTTTAGCGTCGCTCAAAGTTCATCCATGAATTATAGTCTGACAGTGATTTTTTAGTTGAGATTCGCTGTTAATGCTGAATATTTCCCACGTTCCATAAATTAGATATTTGCGTGAATATGAACACATTGTATGGTTACTAACTGACTGTTACATTGTTAAATTGACTCGAAACCATCTAATTGATATCGGTTTTCTACTCATTTGTCAAACCTACATATTAGTGTAGAGTCTTGATGAAGAACTAATTGAGACGAAATATTTCTTCGCAAAACTTGAATATTCAATGTCTCAGTGGGAGTATTTATTGAACATCGTAAGATGTTTTATTTGTATGATTAAGCGCAGCATGAACTGTTTTGCAAATATTTAGCTAAATGGGCAGTTGAAAGCAAAATGGGAACTAGTAGGCTTCTCAATCATAATAGTCTTTGTGTAAATTAGACATACTGAACTAATTAGGAAATAAATTCAAAAGACCAAAGTGTATCTGTCAAAAAACAAATATTTTTGCAAAAATAGTACAAAATAAATTCTCTTCTGTATAAAATATACATTTTCTTTAATGTATACGTGGTGACATTGAAAGATGGAACGTTCGACACAAATCTGATTATTTTCTCGGTTAATACACGGTTAAACGAAGCTCGAGAGAGATGTTAACCTTGGCCAAGGAATTCACGTTTACCTTCATCGTTCACTGCACAGACATGCTTGAGAGGAGAGGAAATAATCAAAGGAGAAAAAATGAACAATATTAATATCTTCTCTGAACAATGTGAAAGCAAATCTGACTCATCTCATCTCATCTCATCTCATCTCATTCATTCATTCATTCATTCATTCAAGTGATACATGTTCCGTTTTTTTGTTGGCCAACGTAATAACTCGCTCACATTCATACCTACTCATCAATCTCCAACACATGTTATTCCACACAACCAACTGGATCATTCCACATATAATAATAAACACAAATGGGAAAACAACAAATTATCCATTCGTCCAATTCACTTACTGGCAATTCACGGAAGCGATCGTTGTAGTCGATACCATAACCAACTATGAATACATTCGGTACTTCGAAGCCAACATCTACAAAATGCCATTTGATACGAATCAGTCTGATGGAATACGTTAAAATGACGAGTAATGATGCGTGTCTGGTCAAAAGTAGACTACACTTGTGTTACACAGTTTTACTTTGCACGTCGTGACAATTGATCTCTGAATGAACCACTTAATGTGGTTTTGAGTGACTCAAATATACACTTGGTTTAATTTTAACAGAGATCAAAATAACTTGTGAGGAGAGAATTGACTGTTGAATTCTCTTACACGGTTGCTATATTTCTGGTTGGATGTGTTATCAGTGATCAGGAACACTGTGAATAAATTTTCTTTAGAAATGGAACTGGATCACGGTCAATAGGTATTATTACACAACCGGCCAAAAACACAGTAGTTCTTTGTTATTCAGTGATGATCGGGTTCCATCTGTCGATAAATCAGTGGATGATGTCCCACTCTGACTCTATAAATACTTGTTCAATGAATTAGCTCACAACGTCTATCTCCAACAGATTCTGTTGTACTATTGAAATGATTCTGACAAGATCAGATCTTCATTCGATGACTCACATCGTCGAACCTAGAACGATTCAATTTACATACACTTGAACGCTAATCTAGTCAGCCATAATACGCATAAGTAGAGATACAAACAAATTAACATTTGCACAAATACAATGATAGTTCTGTTACGAACAATTTCAGTATTGAAGACTTACAGGTTGGTTTATACCCAGGAACCTCGGCTATTCTTTTGACCAGTAAACTGTGATTCAATTGAAAAATGACATCAACACATGTTATTGCACAACTATTAAAATCAAAGTAATTGGTTTAGTGATTGTCAATGTGAAAATGCATACAAATTAGGTCAAGCTGTTGAGTATCAGCAGTCGATCGATCCAGTACTTAAAGCATCCTACTGACTGTTTACGTGATTCGGTGTTCAATCATAACACGTTGGAATCAATGTGAAATACGACGACATTTATCTCTCTTTACACTGTGTCTCAAAGATACCGTGCATTTCAATGATTCTAGTGTACGTGACAACCATTATCGATTAT